GTAAAGACTGGACTTCTTTGAAAAACATTTCCCGCACTCAGGGCACAAAAGCTTCTCTCCCACGTGTGATCTTTGATGTAGAACAAGTCCTGATTTCCGTGTAAAACATTTCCCGCACTCAGGGCAGGAATAAGGCTTCTCCTCTGTGTGAGATCTCTGATGTAGAAATAGTTCTGCATTCCATCTAAAACATTTCCCACACTCAGGACAGGAATACAGCTTTTTCCTCGTGTGAGACTTCTGATGTATGAGAAGATGAGACAGTTGTGAAAAACATTTCCCGCACTCGGCACAGGAATTCAGCTTCTTGTCGAAATGAGATTTATAATGTATGATGAGTTCTGATATTTTTAAAAATTTTTCCCCACATTCAGAACAGGAACATTTCTCCTCCTGAATTCCCGCACCATCCCTCACAGTAGGAGGTTGCTCAGAGTCAGAGGGATTTGATGGTCCATCCACACTGTGAAGTCCACCATCCATAGCTGAGCTCATTGTCTTTTCTCCTGGACAATCTCTTGTGATCTCCTCATCTTCCATTTTACAGCTTAGAGGTAAAGTGAGACGATCCATTGAGGGTTCCTCCATGACGTGTCCTGGAAAAATATAAAAACACAATCAATAGATGGGAGATGGTTAGTTCACCTAAATCAAGATTCCATCTGGATCAGGTATTATTTAGTGAGCTGAGCAGATGTTCTCTGGATGTCCCAACCAGCTGTGACTTCTCTTCAGTAAAAGATCCTTTGGTCCTCCCCCCAGATCACTTCTACATTTCCCCAGCCTTGTCAGAAGAGCAGGAACCAATGGGGACTGGGATGGGCATGCTCTTCACACAACCACAAGCCTAGGCACTGGGTCATGTGATCTCTGATAATGAAGAGGTTCAGACTTGCAGAACCTTTAGCATCGAACAAGTGACCATAGACCTAGGCATCAAATCAAGATTCCATCTGGATCAGGTAGGTTTTAGTGAGTAGATGTTCTCTGTAGATGTCCCAACCAGCTGTGAGTTTACCTCTTTAGTAAAAGGTCCTTTGGTCCTCCCCCCAGATCACTTCTACATTTCCCCAGCCTTGTCAGAAAAGCAGGAACCAATGGGGACTGGGAGGGGCATGCTCTTCACACAACCACAAGACTAGGTACTGGGTCATGTGATCTCTGATATTGAAGAGGTTCAAAGTTCAGACTTGGAGAACCTCCAGCACAGACGAAGAGACAAAAGGCCTAGGCTTCTGGAGATGAGCAGCAGGAAGTATTTTCGTTGCAAATATAATGGCTTTAGTTTTCAATGTTCCTCCTGACTTTTCACCCCAACAAGACTGTTTTATGTTACCTCCAGCTATACATCAGCTCAAAGAAGAGGAACCAACCTAAGACAGTGCTACTGCAACTAGGACTGACACACAACCTCATCCTGCCAACTGAACCCCAGAATCTACATAAATAGGGATGACAATGTGACTGAGTAGGTGTTCTCCCCCACCTAGTTGTATTTTTTTTGTTTTGTATTGAACTACTACTACTATTGAGGTTACTACTGTTTGATGTACGCTGACATCTACTGGTGGTTTAGGGCCACTACAACTTGTTTACAGATGCAATGCCTGCTCGACCCCTTGCCCTCCTGAGGATTTCCCCCCCTTCCTGACCAGGCCATTTGTTGCGTTACGGCACTGCGTTACTTTAACTGACAATTGCGCGGTCATGCAATGCTGCACCCAAATTAAATTTACGTCCTTTTTTCCCCACAAATTGAGCTTTCTTTCAGTGGTATTTTGTCACCTCTGCGTTTTTTTATTGTTTGCGCTATAAGCAAAAAAAGGCAGACACTTTTGAGAAAAAAACAATATTTTGGACTTTTTGCTATTAAACATGTCCAGTAAAAAAAAAAAAATGTTAAAAGTCAAATTTCGTCATAAATTTAGGCCAAAATATATTCTGCTCCATGTCTTTGCTAAAAAAAATCCCAATACATGTAAATTAATTGGTTTGCGTGAAAGTTGTAGCATTTACAAATGGCGGTACTGGAAATTTTTTTATTTTAGTTTTTAGTTTTAGTTGTAATGGCAGCGATCAGCGACTTAGAGCGGGACTGCGGTGGGCATTCTGACACTGGGGGGGGGAACTGACTAACTGTCACTGACATCTCCAGTGACACCAATACAGTGATCTGTGCTAAAAAAAAGAAAAAAAGTACTGACACTGTACTAATGGCACTGGGCAGGAAGGGGTTAAAATCTCGGGCGATCAAAGGGTTAACTATGTGCTGTTTTACTATGTGCTGTGTCCGTGTGCTTCACTGTAAGCACACTGATTTGGATGGCTGTGCTGTGCCCCGCCCCCTAGTAAAACACTCCCCCTCACACAGTTAACCCTTTCACTGTATATTAAACTTGACCCCTTCCTCCCCAGTGCCATTAGTACAGTGTCAGTGTTTTTTTTTTTTTTTGCAGTGATCACTGTATTGGTGTCACTGGGGATGTCAGAGACCCCAAGTCAGTACCCCCCAATGCACAGCCATCCAGAGCAGTGTGCACGCGCTGACAGGGAGGAGAACTGTTTACAAACAGTTCTCCTCCCCGTCGGAGATGCTCAGCAATCACTGGCCGGGACCCTAATGGCGCAGGTAGGGCACGCGCCCCCTACCCAGAAATGCAAAATCATGATTTTGCGCACCCGTGCCACCCTGTAGCAGTATTTCTGCTATAGGGTGGTTAATGCTAGTTAGTTCAGTCCCACCTAGATCCTCCTAGTGTCTTCCATGTTCCATCGGTTAATGTCGGAAGACTGAGCTCATTGTCCTACACTTCAAAATATTGAGAAAGCATCATCTGTCCTGCAATTATCTGTAAGTAAAATTGTGTTGGATTCAACTTCTGTGTCTTAGAGAAGAGGTAGTCTGCCTGTGGATGTTGCCAAATCAGTAGGTGACCATATTGTCGGGACAGTCTGGGCATAAGGAGGTATGTGAGTGCATGAAGAGATGGATTTGTCAGATATCAGTATAATCTGGGGTGAATAGATGTGTCTTGGGTCTCGTGCAGAATACATGTCTCCCAAGGCAGTGCCCAGCCCCCCATTGGTTTGACAATCCCTTGCCCATTAGTATAGAAAATGGCCATTATTGATTTCTAAGATTAGACTCCATTGACTCCAATGGGGTTCAGATTCCGCAAGTTCGCCCAACCCGCCCCGAACCTGACCCAGGTACGTTCATCTCATCACTATATATAAATCATGTCTGAGTAACTAAATTGTATCTGTAGCACAGAGGGAGAAGAAAATCTAATGTGCAGGATGGGTATCAGTACAAGGAGGTGACTATCATCAACCTATCCACATGCCACCCAGCCACTGTATACATACGGCGGCAGGGCGGCACGGCTGGGCAAAAGCACGTTTTAAAATGTGCATTTTGTAAACAGGTAGGGGGCATGCGCGAGGCATGCCGCCGCCCTATCTGTCCCGCCGATCACAGCCCGGATGTCAGTCACCGGGTCACAGCCGGTCGTTACCGGCTATGCCCCGGCGATCGGCGGCAGTCGCTGACAGAGAGCACTGCTGCAGTAGCTGTGCTTTCTGTCAGTTCCCTGACAGCTCCTGATACGCTGATCGGGACAGAAGAATTTCTCTCTCCCGATCAGCGGTGTTCCCTGCAGTACACACCCCGCCCCCTAGTAAAATACTCCCCTCACACAGTTAACCCTTTCCCTGAATAATAAAGTTAACCCCTTCCTCCCCAGTGCCATTAGTACAGTGTCAGTGTTTTTTTTGTTTGCACTGATCACTGTATTGGTGTCACTGGGGATGTCAGTGACCCCAAGTCAGTACCCCCCAATGTCAGAATGTCCGCCGCAGTCCCGCCATAAGTCGCTGATCGCCACCATAAGTCACTGATTGCCGCCATAAGTCGCCGATCGCTGCCATTATTAGTATTAAAAAAAAATAAAAATCCCAGTATCTTTCCCGCCATTTGTAAACGCTATATGTTTCACGTAAACCAATTAAATTACACGTATTGGGTTTTTTTTTTTAGCAAAGACGTCGCAGAATGGATTTTGGCAGAAATTTATGACTAAATTTGATTTTACATTTTTTTTTACTGGACATGCTTTATAGCAAAAAGTCCAAAATATTGTTTTTTTTCCTCAAAATTGTCAGCCTTTTTTTTATAGCGCAAAAAAATAAAAACCGCACAGGCGATCAAATACCACCGAAAGAAAGCTCAATTTGTGAGAAAAAAAGGATGTAAATTTCATTTATGTACCATATTGCATGACCGCGCAATTGTCCGTTTAAACTAGCGCAGCACTGTATAGCAAAAAAATGGCGTAAATTGCAGTATCTATACCATAGTTTGTAGACGCTATAACTTCCACACAAAGCAATCAATATACACTTATTGGGATTTTTTTTTACCAAAAACATGGAGCAGAATACATTTTGGCCTAAATTTATAACCAACTTTGAGTTACTATATATTTTTTATAGGTGAAAGTAAAAAATATTGTTTTTCTTCAAAATTTTTGGCCTTTTTTTGTTTATAGCGTGACAAATAAAAAGCGCACAGGTGATCAAATACCACGAAAGAAAGCTCTATTTGTGTGAAAAAAAGGACGTAAATTTCGTTTGGGTGCAGCATTGCATGACCGCGCAATTATCAGTTGAATTAGTGCAGCGCCGAGTAACAAAAAGAGGCTGGTCATTAAGGGGGGTAAATCCTCTGGAGGTCAAGTGGCTATGACATCACTCATCTCCGCTGTACTCTGGACCAATCAGTGAGCAGTAACAGAGCAGATAACAGAAGAATATATTGTGGCTCACCTGTGCTGATCTCTGTAGGAGTGTCCTCCTCTTTGAATGTCCTCGTCATTCCAGCCTCCTCCGTATATTGCTGATCATCCCTCACATACGTCTCTTCTACTTCACCCTCAACTTTCATCTTCATCAGATCTTCACCCTAAACCAACAGAATGGCAGAAATAACATCTGTAATATAGAAGGATTTATGATGTGAGATCACATAGAAAATATCATCTTGTAGAGTCCACACATCGTCTCCACATGTCAGAGTGTTCCATCACTTTATGTTCCAGACCCTCAACTCCACCGACCTGATGATGGGGAGGGATGGTGTGACCTTCCTGTGTGGAATCCCGGGAATACAGAGGACGGGGACATCTCTCTGGTGGGTTCTCATTACTGGATCCATCTACCGGAAGATGGTGAGGGATCGTGTGACCTTCCTGTGTGGAATCCCGGGAATACAGAGGACAGGGACATCTCTCTGGTGGGTTCTCATTACTGGATCCGTCTACCTGATGATGGTGAAGGATGGTGTGACCTTCCTGTGTGGAATCCCGGGAATACAGAGGACGGGGACATCTCTCTGGTGGGTTCCCATGACTGGATCCATCTGTAGGAAACACACACACTGACTGAATCCATTGTTTCTATGTGTTTATCAGATGATGGGGGATCTAGGTGGATCCTCTGTACTGCTCTCTCCTTTACAATAAAGTCTCCTCTTACCCGGTGATGTGAGGGGCGGCTGATTGTCCATCATGACGTCCTTGTAGAGATCCTTGTGTCCTTCTAAATACTCCCACTCCTCCATGGAGAAATAGACAGTGACACCCTGACACCTTATAGGAACCTGACACACACAATGATACAGTCACCATCCAGACACATCCCTTGTCTGTTACTGGAGAATGTCCCAGAATTCCCTGCACCGCTCACCTCTCCTGTCAGCAGCTCCATCATCTTCTTGGTGACTTCTAGAATCTTCTGCATGTTGTCTCTCTCAGGTTTTAGGGAGCCACATAGAGGCACTGTGATGGTCATATGATCAGCTGACTTTACAAGAGGAAATCTCTGTATTGAGGAACCAATAGGAATATCGTGTTAGAATCCCAGAATCCTCCTCACCTCTCCGGTCAGGTCTGCGTTTTATTAATAGAGTCATGTGACCTCCCAGAATCCTCCTCACCTCTCCGGTCAGGTCTGTGTTTTATTAATAGAGATGAGAGAGTGATGATGTCATGTGACCTCCCAGAATCCTCCTCACCTCTCCGGTCAGGTCTGCGTTTTATTAATAGAGATAAGAGTGATGTGATGTCATGTGACCTCCCAGAATCCTCCTCACCTCTCCGGTCAGGTCTGCGTTTTATTAATAGAGTGATTAGAGTGATGTCATGTGACCTAGAGTGAATCCTGACCCTCACCTCTTCCTCTCCGGTCAGGTCTGTATTTTGTTAATAGAGATAAGAGTGATGTCATGTGACCTTCCAGAATCCTCAAGGAAAAATGTCACCAGCACACCGAGGATCACCAATATGGGTCCAAAGGTTTTAATGAACGATCACATAGTTACAGCAAGGCAACGTTTCGGAGTCTCGCAGGACCCCTTCATCAGGCATGTGAAGGGGTCCTTCGAGACTTTGAAACGTTGCCTTGCTGTAACTATGTTGTCACAAGTTAGCCTGCAGCCTCCTGTTGTTTTTTTCTTACCTCCTTGCTGTTCGTGTTTCCTTCACACGTGTGTTTGTCTGCGCTCACATGGGCGTCATCTGCTATTCTCTGGGTTTTATGTTCTTCCCTTCCATCACTTCCTGGGCCGCCTCCCGGCTGGCTTGTCTATTTAAGACATGCTCAGTCTGTCTCACTTTGCGTGAGCAACGTTTGTTGTCGGAGCTCCCCTGTGTTCTTCTGAATCCGTTTAGTCTATCTGTGTACTGTGGCTTCATCCCTGACATTCCTCCTATATTGTCTATCCGTGTACCGACCCCAGCTTGTTCCTGACATCCCTAGTTTTCCGCCTGTGTCCTGACCTCGGCTTGCCTACTGGATCTCCTAGTCTACTCCCATTGTACCCTGCTCCTGCTAGCGGTCTCTTCTACCTCAGCTGGGTGTACCTGGGGGCCGTGACCTGGTTCCAGCCTGCTCCAAGTCCATCCCCACCATCAGGGGTCCTGGTGAACAAGCAGGCTGGGGCTTAGACCCAGCGCCCTGGGGAACCCCAAGTTGGGGATTTAGGAGCTCACTACCACAGGTGCTGACATATGTGATCGTTCATTAAAACCTTTGGACCCATATTGGTGATCCTCGGTGTACTGGTAACCTTTTTCCTTGCTGATTTTGTTCGGTTCCAGCCGACGGTCACTGCAGCACCCACTTATACACACAGCCATTTTTAACACAGGAACGTGTGCGTTTGGATTGTACGTTTGCTCCCAGAATCCTCCTCACCTCTCCGGTCAGGTCTGTGTATTAGTAATAGAGATAAGAGTGATGTCATGTGACCTCCCAGAATCCTCCTCACCTCTCCGGTCAGGTCTGTGTTTTATTAATAGAGATAAGAGTGATGTCATCTGACCTCCCAGAATCCTCCTCACCTCTCCGGTCAGGTCTGTGTTTTATTAATAGAGATAAGAGTGATGTCATGTGACCTCCCAGAATCCTCCTCACCTCTCCGGTCAGGTCTGTGTATTAGTAATAGAGATAAGAGTGATGTCATGTGACCTCCCAGAATCCTCCTCACCTCTCCGGTCAGGTCTGTGTATTAGTAATAGAGATAAGAGTGATGTCATGTGACCCAGAATCCTCCTCACCTCTCCGGTCAGGTCTGTGTTTTATTAATAGAGATAAGAGTGATGTCATGTGACCCAGAATCCTCCTCACCTCTCCGATCAGGTCTGTGTTTTATTAATAGAGATGTGAGTGATGTCATGTGACCTCCCAGAATCCTCCTCACCTCTTCGGTAAGGTCTGTGTTTTATTAATAGAGATAAGTGATGTCATGTGACCTCCCAGAATCCTCCTCACCTCTCCATCAGGTCTGTGTTTTAGTAATAGAGATAAGAGTGATTTCATGTGACCTCCCAGAATCCTCCTCACCTCTCGGTCAGGTCTGTGTTTTATTAATAGTGATAAGAGTGATGTCATGTGACCTCCCAGAATCCTCCTCACCTCTCCGGTCAGGTCTGTGTTTTATTATTAGTGATAAGAGTGATGTCATGTGACCTCCCAGAATCCTCCTTACCTCTCCGGTCAGGTCTGTGTTTTATTATTAGAAATAAGATGTCATATGACCTCCCAGAATCCTCCTCACCTCTCCAATCAGCAGATAGATGATCTCCAGGGTGAGGTTTAGTATCCTCTCAGTCATGTGACTCTGGTGCTCCTCCATCCTCAATGATGTAGTATTTCTCTGTGGGTGGATAGCGGAGAATTATCCAGATGGTACTGGTTCAATATTAGGATGGTGATGTAAGGATTTAAAATGTACGCTTTCCTCTATTCACACTGCTTTAAGCCCCTCCCACTTTAGCTCACCCACCATTTGGTATTATATGCCCTACCCCATGCTCCACCTCCTGACCCACCCCCCTTCTTTGGGCAATTAATAATTAAAGTATCTCAGCCCCCAAACTGTAAGTTTTAGTACAGGAAAACACTTACCTCGTGCCTCAAAATTCTAATCAAGGTGACTACATAGTGTCCAAGTTTTGTCTCAGACGGTACACTCTGATGTTCATTGCTGGAAAACACTTTCCCCATTTCTCCCAATTTGGTCCTGCTTGCTGTCCTCCTGCTGGACAATTTCTACCCAAAGATTCCTGGGGGCTATTGTTGGAATATTTTTGTCAGAATTAAGGTGACGGGGGTGCGGGGAAAGCAGAAGGGAAGGTGGTATAGTTCAGGAGGAGGAGGAGCCCACACTGCTCCCACCTCGAATTTTACAGGGAACCCACAATAATTTTGTTTGATTTTTGCATAAAATTCCCACTTAACGTTCATACCAGCCCTGAAGAGTCTGGTATTGAAGTCCAGGAGTGCCCCACACTTTTTTTTTTTTGGCAGGGTCACCAGTGGCATTCATACCAGACCCCTTTGAAGGACAAAGGTCTGGTATGTATTTCAAGGGTAAAACCCATTGTTTTTTTGTTGTGGGATCTCTCGTTACCATCGATAACATTCCCTCATTTTAGATATGGGTCCGATATAAGATGAACGGAATCCCCGGCCACAGACAGAGGGTAGAGGCTTCAATGGGGTTCAGATTCGGCACCTGAACTTTAGTTGTGTTCTGTGGAGCCGTCTCCCCCCGGACCCAGGTATGGTCATCTCATTGAGAAGGTGACCCATCCCCACAATGAGGAGAATGTTCCGGCCCCGGAAGTGGGGGAATGTTGTGCCCCTGAAGGGGTTAATCTGGGTTCCCCACACTATATATGTGTGTATCATCATCTGCTGGAGATAAAAGACGTCACAGTGACCATGGAGGAAGAGGACGGACGTGACTATGGAGGAAGAGGACGGACGTGACTATGGAGGAAGAGGACGGACGTGACTATGGAGGAAGAGGATGGACGTGACTATGGGGGAAGAGGACGGACGTGACTATGGAGGAACAGTACGGACATGACTATGGAGGAACAGTACGGACATGACTATGGAGGAACAGTACGGACATGACTATTGAGGAAGGGGATGGACATGACTATGGAGGAAGAGGACGGACATGACTATGGAGGAAGAGGACGGACGTGACTATGGAGGAAGAGGACGGACATGACGGGGGGTTACTGGGTGTAAATAAGAAAATCCATCTTATTACCTCCTCTGCTGCCACTTCCACCAACGCCTCCTCTCTACTTCCTCCCCAATCACCTCTCACCTGGAACTTCCTATTTATACCTGACATCACTTCCTGTCTTTACCTGACATCACTTCCTGTCTGTATTCCATAGAGCCTTCCTGCCTGGGTAGACATGAGATTATCACCTTGTGGAGCTCAGAGGAACTGCAGCCCCGAGAAATGTCTCGTGAACATAGCCCTATCATTGTTGCCAAGTGTCTTGAATGCTGCAGGACACTCCCGGGACTTTGGGTACTCTCCCATCGTGTCCTCATCCCGCAGATTCCAGGACACTTAGCAGAGTGGCAGTGAGGTGACAATGGCTGGAACACTCTCTGGGTTCCATCTAGGGTTGCCACCTCATCCCTTTAAACTCGAGCACGTTAATTACACAGATTCTGCGGCTAATTGAATTCAGATAAAGCACTAATCAATTTAATTACCACCTGAATCAGCCTCAGAACTCATGCCATTAATATGTGTTTGGGTTTAAAGGGATGAGGTGGCAACCCTACTGCTGGAACACTCTGGGTTCCATCTAGGGTTGCCACCTTATCCCTTTAAACCTGAACACATATTATACATGGGTTCTGAGGCTAATTGAATTCAGTTAAGGCACTAAGTGAGTTTATTGACCACCTGAATCAGCCTCAGAACCCGTGTCATTAATATGTGTTCGGGTTTAAAGAGATGAGGTGGCAACCCTACTGTTGGAACACTCTGGGTTCCATCTAGGGTTGCCACCTCATCCCTTTAAACCTGAGCACATATTAATGACATGGGTTCTGAGGCTAATTGAATTCAGATAAAGCACTAAGTCAGTTTCATTACCACCTTCATCAGCCACAGAACTCGTGTCATTCATATGTGTTCGGGTTTAAAGGGATGAGGTGGCAACCCAACTGTTGGAACATTCTGGGTTCCATCTAGGGTTGCTACCTCATCCCTTTAAACCCAAACACATATGAATGACACGGATTCTGAAGCTAATTGAATTCAGATAAAGCACTAAGTGAGTTTAATGACCACCTTAATCAGCCTCAGAACCCGTGTCAATAATATGTGTTTGGGTTTAAAGGGATGAGGTGGCAACCCTACTGTTGGAACACTCTGGGTTCCATCTAGGGTTGCCACCTCATCCCTTTAAACCTGAACACATATTATACATGGGTTCTGAGGCTAATTGAATTCAGTTAAGGCACTAAGTGAGTTTAATGACCACCTTAATCAGCCTCAGAACCCGTGTCAATAATTTGTGTTCGGGTTTAAAGGGATGAGGTGGCAACCCTACTGCTGGAACACTCTGGGTTCCATCTAGGGTTGCCACCTCATCCCTTTAAACCTGAGCACATATTAATGACACGGGTTCTAAAGCTAATTGAATTCAGATATGGCAATAAGTGAGTTTAATTACTACCTTCATCAGCCTCAGAACCCGTGTCATTAATAGGTGTTTGGGTTTAAACTGATGAGGTGGCAACTTTACTGCTGGAACACTCTCCAGGTTCCACCACCAGGAACTGCAATTATACCAGACTGTTGGAAGCCGTGATCTCCTCTCTGACAGTGAAAGTAAAAAAATGAGTGCGTGATCAGGTAAGTACCACTACTGACCACCAATGCTGGGCTGGGGTTACACTTTGTTTCCACTGACACCAACAATGGAACTTATTTATTCCACCTGGGAGACCCCTCCACTTTGTTTAAGTTTAAGAGAGGGGTGAGTCCGTACCGGTGATTTCTCTTTCTCCCTCCCATAAATCTCAATTATCTATTCTCCATCGGGCTTATAGGACCCCTGTGCAATTATTCCGGTGGGGTAGGTGTGATTCCCCTGACTGTCTGAGGTGTAGGACCCAACATGGGGATTTCATTCACATGCTCTGGCGATGCCCAAAGCTGCCTAGATACTGGAGTGAGGTTCTCCAGTTTATTTCCCTAGTTTCACAATATACTGTTCCCCAGGACCCTCTACAATGTCTGCTGGGGGCTTTGGACCAAGAACTGATGCAGCCCGGAGTATATATTTTGGTATCTAGACTTTTATATCTGGCTAGGAAGTTAATTGCAAGGTACTGGTTATCGTCGGCCCCGCCAACTAGTAAGCAAGGGATAGATTACGTAAACGCGCTACTCCTGTGGGAAAAGCTCACGTACCAACATTGTAATGCTTATCGCAAGTTTCAGCAGGTGTGGCAGGGCTGGATAGATATACCTGGGCTTGCCCCATCTCAACTATTAGTGGATCCACTCTTGCAGGTGTGACATTTTATTATATGACAGATAGCTCCTGTCAGGAATGGACTTGCCAATGGTGGTGGGACTCACCTGCCTTGTGGGCTGCAGTACCAGGGCTGGCCAGCGGGTGCTCTCAGCAACCAGAAGCTCACTCCTGCAGTCGGCCATCACCTGAGGCTGATTGCAGGAGGTGTATTTAAGGAATGGCCAGACCTGCAGTCAGGGCCTTGGTGTATGTTTCCCATGAGCCCCTGTACCTGCATCCTGTCTGCTTCCTGCCTAATTCCTGATTCTGCTTGATCCTGACCCTGAATGAACTCCGCCTGTCCTGACTTCGGCTATTCCTGACCACTCTCCAGCCTGCTCCTTTGGTACCTTGTCTGCCTGATTGTTCCTGACCCGGCCCGTCTGACTACGCTCTGTCTACTCCTTTGTGTCTTGTCTGTCCGATGATTCCTGACCCGGCCTGCCTGACCACTCCACCTCACCAGCCCTGACTGCTCTTGTCTGTGTACATTCCGTTATCAGTTGGAGGTTTGGTTTTGTTATATTGTGCGTTATATTTGTGTATAACCCTTAATAAATTATATTGTTACACCATACTTGAGCCTGCGTTTCCCTGTGTCAGTTCACGCATCTCTGGTCTTACCGGGAGCCCTGACAGCTCCACTTCTCCCCTTGGGGTGCTCATGTGTATCCAGAGTTTTCTTTGTTGGGATGTCTTGGGTGAACCAATTGTTATTCACTGATTGTTTATTTTTGACTTTGCTCCTTTCCCCCATTTTTTTATATATCTGGACGGGGGGGGGGGGGGGGGGGGGGGGGGGGGGGGGGGGGGGGGGGGGGGGGGGGTGAATAAATGGCCTGGGATCCTTATGTTTTCTGTTACATTTGATCACTGCTTCTGATATTATGTATATGACAGGATCTGCGTATCCCCATCACACTGTTTATACTCTCCGATGGTACAATATTAGTATTGTTGATTCTGTACGCACTGTTCCATTTTTTTCATTGTCTTGACAATAAAAGTTGTTTGGATTGAAAAAGAGAGGGGTGTTAGGAGACGTCATTCATGGAACGTGGGTGATGGCATAGATTGAGTTCCTCAGTCAGCGGGTTTTTAATTGTGGCAGTATCAGACATCTTTCATTGTGATTGATGTGGATCTACATTGCAGGAAAATTTATTTCATGATGGATTTATATCACTAAAATCATGAGAAAGTGTCAATGTGTCTATTTACTCTGTTTTCCTTGTGAATAAGTAAAGGTACAATGTGTGAGGGGTTTTTATTTTTTAAGCGTGCTTCTAGATTCCCATAGGCTCCCCACCTGCAGACACCCCTAAGCACTGAGCCAGGGTTGTGGGTTGTCCTCATCAACATAGAGACAATATGCCATGCCAAAGGGGTCCCAACTGGCACAGTTCCTCCATTCGAACCTTGTCCTGCTTGAACCTCACTTTCTCAAACCTCATCCTGCTTGAACCTTGTCCTGCTCAAACCTCGTCCTGCTTCAACCTCACTCAGCTGGAACCTCATCCTGCTTGAACCTTGTCCTGCTCAAACCTTGTCCTGCTTCAACCTCACCCAGCTGGAACCACTTCCTGCTTGAACCTTGTCTTGCTCAAACCTCATCCTGCTTGAACCTTGTCTTGCTCAAACCTCATCCTGCTTGAACCTTGTCCTGCTCAAACCTCATCCTGCTTGAACCTCACCCGGCTGGAACCACTTCCTGCTTGAACCTTGTCTTGCTCAAACCTCATCCTGCTTGAACCTCACTTTCTCAAACCTCATCCTGCTTGAACCTTGTCCTGCTCAAACCTCATCCTGCTTGCACCTTGTCTTGCTCAAACCTTATCCTGCTTGAACCTCACTTTCTCAAACCTCATCCTGCTTGTACCTTGTCTTGCTCAAACCTCATCCTGCTTGTACCTTGTCTTGCTCAAACCTCATCCTGCTCGAACCTTGTCTTGTTCAAACCTCATCCTGCTTGAACCTTGTTCTGCTCAAACTTTGTCCTGCTTGAACCTCACCCAACTGGAACCACTTCCTGCTTGAACTTTGTCTTGCTCAAACCTCATTCTGCTTGAACCTTGTCTTGCTCAAACCTCATTCTGCTTGAACCTTGTCTTGCTCAAACCTCATCCTGCTTGGACCTCACCCTGCTGCTCATTCCTTGTCCTGCTCGAAAATCATCCTGCTTGTTTTTTACAAGGATTACAAAATTGATTCCCCCCCCCCCCCCTTTTTTTTTTCTTTTCTCTCCTTCCTGGGGGGTGAGTCATTTATGGGATATTGATGGGAGACATATTGACACTCAAGTTCTATGACTCTATAGTGATTACTTACTGTGGACTATCAGGTTTTGCCATACTTTTGGCTATGTGCTGGACGTATATTGAGGTTGCTTTTACTCTAGATGACTGCACACCAAGCTTTTTCTGCTGCTTAGAGCCCTGCGTGGGTCATATTTGTTCTTATGTAATTGTGCATAGTTCCCTTTTTCTTTTGAACAACTGCTCTATTATATATCATTTATGTTTCTATAGCCTGTATAATTTGTTGATTTATTCAATAAAACTTCTTTGGTACCAGAAAATCATCCTGCTTGAACCTCACCCTGTTCGAACTTCTTCCTGCTTGAACCTTATCCTGCGTAAACATCATCCTGCTCGAACTTCACCCTACTTGGACGTCGCCCTGCTTGAACCTGATCCTGCTTGAACCTGATCCTGATCCTTCTTGAACCTAATCCTGCTTAAACCTCATCCTGCTTGAACCTTGTCCTGCTCAAACCTCGTCCTGCTTAAACTTCACCCTGCTC